AAAACCAAACCAGAAATAATAAGCTATTTACTTTAGCAGGTCTTGTTTCATCTTCAAACTCATAATCACTGGCTTCCATGTCTTCACAGGAACTGAAAAGACAGTGCACACTTTCTCGTCAATGTAACTAATACACATCAACTTGAGATCCAAAATTTTACTAACTATGCAGTAAACTGGAATTTCAGTGGACAGAAATAGAAAAGAAAGCATTTGATTAATTTTGTAACCCTAGAGCCTAGCTGGTGAAAAAATCCTACTAGAGCAGATATGCTAGCTAACTAGAACACTCCCACACAGACCAAGGGTAAAGCCCTTCTAAAATCAACTCTCTGGCTAGTGAGACGATTCAGAGGGTAAGGGCTCTAGCCACCAAGCTTTACCACCTGGGTTCAATCCCACAGTTGAAGGAGAGAAACCAATTCCTAAAAGTTGACCTCCACATGTGTGACACTCCCTCCCCCCACACACAATAAATATAATAAGAATCAACTCTCTGGCTACCTAATTTTTGACTGGGAATTCTGATAAGGCTCTAATCTAGGCTTCTCACCCCCCTTTCTCACAGCCCTTTCTCTACTTCCCCTAGCTCCAAGGGTCAAGTGCAAATACCAGAAAGCTTTCAGTGCCACTCAGTAGAAACTGCTTTTTGTTGAGTACATGGAACCATTTTTGGGTATAGAGAGAAACCAGACTATCAAGACTTACTCATTCCAATACGCTCTCTTTCTCCCACGACACTGTCCTGAGGAATGAAGCAACACAGAATCCGGAGTAAAGGGATTAATATTCACTTGAGGAGTTTGCCGAGTATCAAATTCACGTTTTCCTGATTTTTCTGTGTCCATGAACAAAGAACCACCCCGGAGTTTAACAGAGGTAGAATCAATTCCTCGAGCTTTGGAAAGTAAACTCTAGGAAAGGGAAAACAAAAAACTTTAGGCTGGGGCTGGCAAGATGGCACAGCAGATAAAGGTGCCATCAAGCCTATAACCAGAGTTTGAGTCCCAGAACCCACATGATGGAAGGAGAGAACGTACCCTGCAAGCTGTTCTATGACCTCTACTCCCCCCGCCACTCCCCCGTTGTGAGTGTACACACACACACACACACACACAATTTTACCTGTTGAGGGATGGAGAAACAGCTCAGCCATTAAAAAAGCACTGACTGCTCTGGCAAAGAATACGGGTTTAGTTCCCAGCACCCACATGACAGCTAACAACTGTACTATAACTCCAGTTCAGGGAAAGTGTGAAGTCCTCTTCTCATCTCCACGGGTGCACGACACAGGTACACCTACACACATGCAGGCAATGTACTCATATGCATAAAATAAAAATAATGAATAAAAAGTGTTCTTAAAAGAATTTTTTACCTGGGCGTGGTGGTGCACGCCTTTAATCCCAGCACTTGGGAGGCAGAGGCAGGCGGATCTTTGTGAGTTCGAGGGCATCCTGGTCTACATAGTGAGTTCCAGAACAGCTGGGGCTACGGGGGACCTTGTCTCAAAAAGAGGAAAAAAAAAAAGTTCTTTTTAAATAAAAACTTAGGGTCCAAGTCCTATAAAAGACAGCCTGCTCAAGTAAACCTTAAGCTGGCTTTTTAAGAGGTTGAATGTGTACCAAAGCAATACAAAGCTGGGTATGTAGCTCAGAAGAGCGGTTGCAGGGGAAGGTCCCACTGCACACTAGAGGGAAAATAAACATGGAAGGGGGCAACACCAAGCATTTCTTACATTTCAAGCAAAATAAACACTTGCTAACTTTAGAGTTAGGCCGAATACTATCTGAGAAAGATAGGCTAATAAAATCGGTTATCTAATCCTAAAAGGTACATTTCTGTTGACTAAAACTAAATTCTTATCAGTGGCTAAAAATTAACAGGCTCTTTCCACCATCTCAAAATAAAAAGCAGCCAGTCCCATAAAAGTCCCCTCGCAGGACTCCTACCCTCACTTCTAGGGGCTAGTGCATACCCAGGGCAAGTCTAATTAAACGGTAAAGCTCTGAGGACACACATTCCTGAGTTTTAGAACGTGGCTAATCGCCGCCTAGAGACTCGCTTTAGAAGTTCCTCGTCCGGTGTTAAGCTTCCACGCGAGATGCCTGTCTTAACTAGAAGGGTCCGCTTTTACATCTGACTTCTCAGGTCCCCCGGGCGGCAATCGGCTCACTACCACAGGTGCAGCACACACCCTTCTTTAACAGCCTTATCTAATCTTCACACCGAGGCCAACCAAACCGCAAGGCCAATCCCACGTTAAACACGAAGGCTTCCCCCCGAGTCCAGAAAGACAACCAAGAGGTACTTGGGGTTACCTGGGTGCCTTTAGGACCGTAAATGCAGAGACACAGCCAGCTCTTAATAAACCCTCAGGTGGAAGCGCGGACTCTAAAGCGCTCCCTCAAACGCCGCATGCAGAAACCACTGGCAACTGGGGGGAGGGGGATCTTTTTATAAATCCAACTTCTGCCTGCACCGCCCAAATTATAGCCCCGATGTGTGGGTTTAAAGGGCACCATATGGCTGGGAGGGTCAAGTGGTGGAACCAGCGCCTGTGCAACATCATCGCACAGCGCCGGGGAGCAGGCCCGCTCCAGGGCCACCTGGATAGCGCGCACCGGCCCCTTTGTAGGAAGAACAAGTTCCAGACGAGGCCCATTGTTCAGTTACATAATCTTAACGGACAACTTCTGGGCAAGGCCCAAAAAAGAAGAGGGGCTGCCAACTTTTTTTTTTTTTGGTGGCGACGCCTGCAGAACGAACGGGGTGCGGCCGGGCAGTTATGTAACCGAACCCCGGCGGCGGCGCGCTCGGCGGCTGCATGGCGGCCTGTTTTTTTTTTTTTCAAAGGCCCGGGCCGCGGCCGCCCGCGACCCTCCTGCTCGCTCGCTCGCTCACCTTGGGCGTGTGCGGCGTGTCGAAGAGGCGCAACTTGCGAAAAGTCTTGTGCGGAGGCGTGCCGGGGTAGTCCGGCAGCGGTGTGCATGGACCCCCGACGGCCAGGCGAGCCCCGCACCTCCGCGGGGACGCGTCCCCCGGGCCGCCGCCGCCGCCGCCGCCGCAGCGCACCGGCGAGAACGAGCTGCCCAGGAAGTAGGCGGCGGCGGGAGACTTGACGGGCGACGATGAGCCAAAGCCCTCCTCCTCCCACGAGTCGCCCTCTGCGCCACCGCCCGCCGAGTCCGCGCCCGTGCAGCCGGCCTGCAGCAGCATGTCCTCCTCCAGGTCTCCGGGGCTGCCCGGCACTGTGCCAGGCGAGCGGCGGCGCTGGCGATCGCACTCGGGCTCCGCAGGGCTACGCGCTGGCGGCAGCGGCGAGTCGGGCTCCTGGAAAGCCGAGTCCTCCCCGGTGCTGTGGCCGCTGCCCTCCTCCTCCTCCTCCTCCTCCTCCTCGTCGCAGTCGCTGCAGGGCGAGAAGATGAGCTTCTGCCGCAGGCTGCAGGCGGCCGCGGCGCGGCGGGTGGGCGGCGGCTGCTGCCGGCTCAAGAAGCTCATGGCCCGGCCGGGGTCCCCGCGGAGCACCGGGGAACGGAGCACCGGGGAGCAGAGGCCCGCGGCGTCCAGGTCGCGGCCGGCACAGGGGGCGGGTCCGCCACGTGCAACGGGGCGCGCCGGGCTGCGGCGGTGGCTCCGAGGCGCTCCGAGCTCCCGACGCGGCGGCAGCGCGGTGTGTCCGGCAGAGACTGACCGGTCCGGGAGCGAGGCAAAGGTCTCCGAAAGTCCAGCCGCAAGTTCGGGTTCCGCGGCTTCCCGCGACCGTTAACCACGTGAGGGCTCAGCCCACCAATCCCCGCCCAGCCTGGGTTTGAAAAAACAGGGAAGGCGCGACGTAGCCTGCGGAGGAGGGACCTGCTACGCGATTTTGGCGCGAACCCCCTGGCTCCGCCCCCCTCGCCGGCGCGCTGCCAGTCCTGGGCGGGCCACGGCGTTGCGGGCCAATGAGCAGGCCTGAGTCGCACAGGGCTCCGCCCGGAATCCAGCGCCTCGGGCACGGACGGGGAGGTGTGGCGAGGGGGCGGGGCCTCTCTGGGGGGGCCCCTCTGGGGGGCCCGGCAGCGGCAGTCCTCCTACGCCTCTGACCCGGGTTAGGAGTCCGAATAGGACCCGGCGGCTCGCAGCGCCTCAGCGGCCCGAGACCTGAGCACCGTGGGGTCCGGGAGAATGCCCGAAGCCTGGCCCCGCCCCGCTCCGCATTCCTTTGAGGCCTAGCGCTCTGGCGTTCTGGGCGTGGCCGTGCTCTGTCACGTTCCCGAATCGCGGTCTGGGCCGGAAATGGTGACTCAAGCTCCGGGCTTTACGGCGCTCTGTGAACTCGGTTGTCCAAGCGAACCACGAAGTCCTCTGGTGGGGCGGTTGCGAGGCCTCGGGGCAGGGACACCGCCTGTAGGGGCGTCCTCGGAGCCTGTGTGCGCCGAGTGACCTCTCCAGCCCTGTGTCCTGTGCGCCTACACTTCTCGGTAAACCGAGGCAGCCCACCTACCAGTGTTTTTGTTTGTTCACCAGCACGTGGACCCGTTTTGGCCCAACTGATTGGTCCCAGGGAACAACCGCAACAACAGCAAATAAGGTGCAATACCAGTGTGTGATTGCACACACTTGTAAAGCCTGGCACTCGGGAGACTGAGGCAGGAGGATGAAAAGTTACATCCTGTACTACCTGTGCTGCATGTTTTTGCACCCAAGCAGAAAAATTCCCATACCACTTTTGTGAATTGTGGATATCAGTTGAGATGTAATGTTTGTCAATGTAGGTTTCCTTTGATTTGCAGTATTGGAATGGGTTTAATAGCTATCTACATTTATTTCTATTTTATTGTAGTACTTTGAGTATTCACATTTTGTGATGTTGCATATGCTGTTGTTAACACTTGCAAAGGCTGAAATTTCTGATTTCTTTTTTAGACATTCTTGCTGTCTGATACAGCTAGACTGACCTTGAACTCCTGGCAATCTTCCTGTCTCCACCTCCAGAGTAGAGTGCTGGGATTATAGATCTGTGCACCTTTCTAGACAAAGTCGATTGTTTTTTCAAGATAGGGCCCTGCCTATGTAGCCCTGGTTGGCCTCTAATTCCCAGTTATCCATCTAACTCAAATTTCCAATTGCTAGCAATACAAACTCGAACCACCCTGCCCAGTTTCCAAGCTGAGTTTTTAAATTGTTATGTGAGTGGGGTGGGGGTGGGGGAAGGTTGCACACTAGTGTGCTTTGTAGAGTCTGTTCTGTTCTACTTTTATGTGAATTTTGGTAGTCAAACTCAGGTCGTCAAGCATGTGTAGCAAGTGCCTTTACCCTCTGAGCCATCTCTCCAGGCCTACCAAGCTGAATTTTTAATAAAAGCACATTTTTTTTAATAAAAGCACATTTTAATACCTAACAGGTGACATGAAAGATTTCCTGAGATCCCAACTAGTAGCAGGTAGCTTAACTATAGCTGTTTAAATGGTCTTCATGTGCTAACCCAGACTTTATTTTTATTTATTTATGTTGACTGGTTGGTGAGTCTCCCTACGAGACAGCGTTGCTTGCGTGATCTTCCTCATCCTGCCTCAGCCTCTGTTGTCTATTTCAAGGAGAGGTATTCTCTGATCTCCTTTCACACCTATCTCCATTCTTTGTTATGGATAGTTGACCTTTTCTTTCCAATATTATGTGAAATGTAAATAAAAATAACTTTAGAAATCTTTTAATTTATCTATAACATGAGTTGTATTTTAAAATGTGCTTCCTAGGTAAAAAGGAACTTCAAGCCCCCTTAAACACCCTTCTCTAATTAAATGGTGGCTTCTGAGCCTTTCTATATAAGAATTCTATATGGGCCATTGAGGTGACTCAGTAGGTAAATAAAGGCACTTGCTGCCAAGCCTGAGGACTTGAGGTTGGTTACAGGACCTATGTGGTAGAAGGAGAGACGGGACTCCCACAAGTTGTCTTCTGACTTCCACCTGTACACACACACAAATAAAATGTAATAAAAAAATGCAATTTATGCAATACTAAAAACACAGAAAATAATAGAAATTGTAAAATATGTAATAATAAAAAATTCTAACCATACAATCACACCCCCCACCCCCCCTTTTCCGTTCTTTCACAATATTCTTACTGCCTTAACAGCCTTACATCCAGCTAAAAGTATGTTTTTGTCATCCCTGCCCTCAGGGACGGCTCTATCTTGTTTGCTGCAGTGTTCTCTTGCGGCTTTTATGTACACTATCTTTTGACTGATAAAAGAGCCTTTAATTAAGATGTTAGTAAGATGTTACTTCCAGTAAATTTGCCTACTTAAGATTTGAGCAGAAGATTAGAACTGTGTTCAATGAAAGTTTGTAAATGGTAAGAGGTGTTATGCTTTATCATCCTTTTCTCCATGGTCTTTATTTTTCCCTTCCACTCTCAAATAATAAAAATTTCAATGAAGGGGCTGGAGAGATGGCTCAGTGGTTAAGAGCACTGGCTGTTCTTGCAGAGGATCCAGGTTCAGTTTCCAGCACTCACTTGGTGGCTAG